AGTGGTGCCACGTGTGCCCAGCACAAGCCCCGGTCGCGGGGTGTTCCTGAAGGTCTTGTTGGCCTCACAGGCTTCTGGAGATCATGGTGCTTCTCAGCGCCTCATGGCCCAGGGGAGCGTCCAGCCGAGGAGTCGTATGGTGTAAAACCTTCCCAAATTGGTGCTGCAGTTCCAGCCACCAACTCCTGGTGTTTCCTCTAGGTACACATGCCATGGTCAACTCCAAGACCACCACGGAGACGACCACTACGGAGACGACCACCACGGACACAACTGCCATGTACATGACCACCACAGAGACGACCACCACAGAGACGACCACCACAGACATGACCACCACAGACATGACCACCACGGAGACGACCACCACAGACACGACCACCATGGAGACGACTACCATGGACACGACCACCATGGAGACGACTACCATGTCTGTGACTGCCGCTCCAAACACCACAATCTCCAAAAACACAAGTGACAAAGGGACTCAAATCTCCATGTCCTCCCATACCACAGTCTTCCCTGCCACAGGCAACACCACAAACTTACAGTCCAGCAACAGCCCCACAGGCAACACCACGGTGCCCATCTCTAGCAGTGCTGCCGTCTCCCACGCCAATGCCACAGCCAACAGCACCGCGGTGCCCATCTCTAGCAGTGCTGCCGTCTCCCACGCCAATGCCACAGCCAACAGCACCGCGGTGCCCATCTCTAGCAGTGCTGCCGTCTCCCACGCCAATGCCACAGCCAACAGCACCGCGGTGCCCATCTCTAGCAGTGCTGCCGTCTCCCACGCCAATGCCACAGCCAACAGCACCGCGGTGCCCATCTCTAGCAGTGCTGCCGTCTCCCACGCCAATGCCACAGCCAACAGCACCGCGGTGCCCATCTCTAGCAGTGCTGCCGTCTCCCACGCCAATGCCACAGCCAACAGCACCGCGGTGCCCATCTCTAGCAGTGCTGCCGTCTCCCACGCCAATGCCACAGCAAACAGCAGCAGCTGGCCCCCCCACTTCGGCACCAACACAACCAACAGCAGCTCCACAGTTCCCACCTTCCCCCCGGGTGGTAGCACGGTGATGCCCATCTCCAGCACCAAAGGCAACGACAGCAGCAGTGCTCAGGTCATCCCCACACAGAAAACCTCTGTCACCCCTCAGAGCAGCACGGCTCCCAGGCAGACCCCCACGGCCGTGCTGGGCAGCAGTGGCACTCCCAACCCTAGCAAAGCTGCAGCCCTGCTTCCCACCGCGGTCCAGCTGCTCCTCCGCGTCCTGCTGTCCTTCCGCATCGTCAACAGGAGCTTCAACGAGAGCCTGCGCGACCCCACGTCAAAGGAGTACAGGAGCCTGAGCCACACTGTCTTGACCATGGTGAGTCCCAGCCCTGCCCACGGGCTGCCTGGGCGAGCAAAGCCCCCCGCTCTGTGCTGGGAAGGAGCCGCCTCCCGTTGGGGCTCCCCGTGAAAGTGCCCCAAGCACCCGCTCTGCCAGCCGCTTCAGCCCCGGCCGGTCCCGCGAGGGGGAGCGGCGAGGGGACGGGAGGGAAAGCGTGTCCACCGGGGAGGTGGCTGTCACCCCCATGCTTTGTTCCAGTTCGAACACGTCTTTGGCTGCGCAAGCTGCATGGGCAGGCAGACCTACAAGGGATGCAGTGAAATCTATTTCAGGTGAGCGGGCCAGCGGCTCTGGCTGCGGAGGCCAGCGTGTCCCGGCTGCACGGTGCGGAGCCCCTCGCAGGGGGCAACAATTCGGGTGCTTACGCCTCTTCTTGTGAGCAGCCAAGGCTCAGTGGAGGTGCAGTCCACCCTCGTGTTTGCGCACGGCAATGACACTGTCACCAGCGACGCCGCTGAGCAGCAGCTGAGGAACAGCCTGGACCAGAACGGCTTCATCATGGACCTGCAGCTGACCAACATCCAGAGTGAGCAGGAGCTTCAGGCCGGGGGCGCGAGGGCGGATGGAGCCCCACAGGGGTGCTCTGGGGGCTCCGCAAGTGCTGTCCCAGCCTGGCCGGGGCAGGGAGGCTCCTCGGCGGTGGGACAGGCTCAGGGCTTGCAGCCGGCAGAGCCTATGCAGTTTCCCCGTGGCACACAGCACTGGGAAGACCTACTGGACCCGATGGAGGAGGGCTCATCCCCTCACGCCCCATCCTGGGGCTCTCAGTGCTGTTTGTCCCGGCCAGCCCCGCAGCTCTGCCCAGCAGCACAGACATGGCTCTGGTCCTCTTTCAGGCACTGTGGAGGCGATGTCCCCAGCACCGGTGCCTGCGGTCCCGGGCTGGGCCATTGCTCTGCTGGTCCTGGTCTGCATCCTGCTGCTGCTGAGCATCCTCACCTGCCTTCTGCTGGTGAGCCCCCCATCCTCATCCCTGTCCTCACCTGCCTTCTGCTGGTGGGTCCCCTGTCCCCATG